GCGCTTAAAACAGCAATTTGATCTTGCTTCTTCAAAATCATAAATGCAAACTAGTAACTTGTTGTTTTGGAGATTTCTCTCATATTTCATTGCTCTTTCATTCTACACAGATCTAGTCTTCCCAAATGTAGACATATTGATTACAATTAATACAGGCATGAATTCGCTTTTAGCTAGCCCAAGTTGGAAAACCTATTGTGATTGGTTTGGGCTCTCTAGAAATAAAAGCCACCAAAATGTGCAATAATACATCGTAATGCATTCCCTCCCCTTAGATTTGTGTTATCTGCCACTTTTCATTTTTAATTCTGGGTAGACTATTCTGCTGAGAGCAAAGATTGTCGCTTCCTATTTATACAGGGTGTAGTGCGTATATCGGTGGCCCGCAGTTATAGTTCTTGCCTGTAGCATTCATGCTATGCATGTCATTAAATATGGATGTGACAATTTTTTTACCAAAAGTAAAAAGCAAATCCAAAATGAATCTGTAAGCAAAGAGGGAATGGCCTTCAGGGGTAGGAGAAAGAGCAGCTACCAAGATGACTGCCAGATGAAAACAGATGAAGACAAGTAAAAGTCTCAGATAAGCCCCTCCCAACTTTGTATGAGGTATGCGGTGGCTAAGACGCTGAGCTTGTCGATCAGAAAGATCGGCAGTTTGGCGGTTCAAATCCCTAGTGCCACGTAACAGACTGAGCTCCCGTTACTTGTCCCAGCTTCTGCCAACCTAGCAGTTCAAACACATGCAAAAAATGCAAGTAGAAAAATAGGAACCATCTTTGGTGGGAAGGTAACAGCGTTCGTGCGTCTTCGGTGTTTAGTCATGATAGTCTGACCACATGTCCATGGAGACGTCTTTGGACAGGGCTGGTTCTTTGGCTTTGAANAGTTCGGCTGTTCAAATCTCACCGGCTCAGGGTTGACTCAGCCTTCCATCCTTCCGAGGTGGGTAAAATGAGGACCTGGATTGTTGTTGGGGGCTGACTCTGTAAACCGCTTAGAGAGGGCTGAAAGCCCTATGAAGCGGTATATAAGTCTAACTGCTATTGCTATTGCTATTGAGGCACTTAGCTAAGACACAGAAATCAAAGTGACTACTCTCCAATTCTTCTCATTAGTGCCTCCTTAGAAGTTCAACAGGCACTGACCTTTTTCCAGAAGCAGCAAACCAAGTCCTCAGAAAGAACAAGAATAAAACTACTTCAGCCAATACAAATTAGGCTCTTCACTATGAAGACTTTTTCTGTTGTTATTGTTCAGTGATGGCAAACTTTTTAGGCATAGAGTGCCCAAACCAGAAGGCATGTGCATGCGTGCGCCAAAGCACCAAAAACCTGACAACCAGCTGGCTGAGCTGGGGCAACGGCACACGTGCCCACTGAGAGGGCTCTGCACGCCACCTCTGGCATGCGTGCCATAGTTTCACTGGAAACTCTGATTAAAAAAAAAAAAAGCAACCCAGTTGCAAGCTTTTTGAAACCACTAAATTTTGTTCTACACTCAAAACAAAGTCCGAAAAAAATATCATTCATAGAAAGATCTAAGACACTTCAAGAATGGAAGGTTCAAGATAATCTCTAATGCAGGTAGTCCTTGATTTACAACAGTTCATTTAATGATCGTTTGAAGTGACATCACTGAGAAAAGTAACTTATGACCATTTTTCACTTAAGACCAGTGGTGGGTTACGACTGGTATGCCCTGGTACTGGTATACTGCTGCCTACCTGGAGCACTGGGTACCATTCTGGTATGGTGCTCCGGAAGGCCTACCTGCCTGCCGACGCTCCTTACCGGCACGGAGCATATGGCGCCTGCGCAATGCTCCGCCGAGCAGTTGGAGCGTCGCGGAGGCGTCACGGAGCATCGCAGGCAGTAAGTATGCATGTGCGTGTGCCCAGCCCCGTTGCACCATACCGGTTGCACTGGGATCTGGAACCCACCACTGCAGCATCCGGATGGTCATGAGATTTACAATCAGAGCAAGAACAAGAAGTTCATATTTATGAAGGTTACAGTGTCCCAGGGTCATGTGATAATCTTTTGCGACCTTCTGAGAAGCAAAGTCAATGGGGAAGCCAGATTCACTTAACAACCATGTTACTAATTTAACAACTGCAATGATTCACTTAACAAATGTGGCAAGAAGAGTTGTAAAATGGAACAAAACTCACTTGACAAATTTCTCACTTAACAACATAACTTCTGGGCTTAATTGTGGTAGTAAAATGAGAACTATTTGTATTCACTAGTAATGTAACAAACGCAGCTTATTTGCAATCAAACATTGTGAAAACAGACTACAGAAAAGGAATTTTATTTGATAGCATTTATTCATTTAAAATGTTGTACAAGTTTGACAGATGACGATCCTTCATTTGAAGGGATAGGTAAAACAAATTATATTAGAGAAAAATAAACTAAAAAGCACTTTGCATTAAAAATAGTTATCTGTATGGTAATCCTATAAAAATAAATTGTGCTGAAACAATGTTATAAAGCTGAACTGTATCAATATTATAATACTGCTTTTTATATTAATTCAAAGGTTTTTACAATTTCAAATGTTTTTACTAATAAGATGTAATGAAGCTCTTACATCATTAGTAAATCCTCTACACTTTTTTAAAACATGGATTATGCATATGAAGAAAGCAGGTAAATTCTTGAAAGTGTAATCTCATTTGAAAAATATTTTAAGAACATTTCATTAAATAAAGCTCTTAAAAAGATTATTCATGGACGGTATGTAAATCAAAATTATAATTAAGGCTTAAAGTGATTATTACAAAAATCCCTTATTTCAAGCATAAACAGCTATGCAAATAAACAATACACAAAAGACTGGGGGGGAAATCTAAAAATTCTGAGCACAACCATTTACATATTTGGCCAACCATGCAAATGTACTGCATTCTCTGTATTTTTTTCTGTTTTAAGGTGCAATCAACATACTTTTAATCTAAAATGTTACAATCATATACAAGAGTATATTAACTTACAATAAAATACATATAATTTTACATTTACTTAATAGTATAACTATATTTAACTTTTGCAGTTTCCGTAATGAATACAAAAGATAAAACACTTAAGAATTTTCATTTTTGAGGAACACACATTACAAGTTAGTAATAATTATGCCATTGTTCTTTTAAGCATTAATAAGTTACATCAATACCATTTTCTTGTATAAAATCCCTTAGTCTCATGGCTTATGCTCCCAAAACATTAATCTAACCCAAAATTGGACAAACGGAACATCAGTTCTATTAAGTTTAAATATAATATCCATTAAACATATTGAATGGATAGGAATAAATCCCTACAGAATTCACTTACAGGTAGACCAATTAATTTAAACATTATAATCATAACTAATTAATCAACATTTTGTTTAAAAGAATAGTTCTTCTACTTGGGCCAGATTTCTAATGCTATACATGCTAACAGTTCAGATAATTAGCACTACTCCAATTAACTGCTTTGGTTTTCCTTTTGAATTGAAGAAAAGTACAAATGCAAAATAATATATAGATGGTTTTTTGTTTTCCTAAGAGTCAAGCACAGTGTGTTAGTGAGATATCATAAACAACAATGAAATCCAATCATATATTCCTACAAAGAGCAGCAGTGTCTAGTATAGTCGTTGAGATGAGTTGGACCTTTCATTTGCGCAACATGTCCTGCACAAATCTACTGAATGTCTAGGAACAGCAAGAAACTGGGAATTGTTGGATTTCATCCAAGAGAATGTCTTTTTTCCTAGAACCATTTTATGACTGTACAAAAATATACATAAATAAATCTAGCTAACCAATAAAAACTTATAAAAATGACTACTTTAACAGAAAGTTGTCGATATCTAATTATGATCCATTTAAAAATCTAAAGCTCTGCTTAAGCAATGAGTTGAAAGTATGCACCATGATTCTGCCTGCCAAAGGAAAGACTTTAAAGTTGTGCAACTTATGCAATGATCAGATGGCCATCAGATGGCCTGCTCATGTCTTCAACATTTGCTAGGAGTGTTTATGTGCAAAATCAATGAAACCCCTCAAAACAATAACATAAGTTTTAAAGAGACTTTTCAGCAATTTCTGAACACCAATTTTACATAAATAACTTTCTTGTTTCCCCCAATTTATGCTGTCCCTTCCATATTTGAATTGTTAAATGATATCAGCAGAGGTATCTTTGTACGATGTTGATATTTCAACTATTTTAAAATAAATGGAAGGAAACAAGACAATATTGGCAAGCACTTGTTTATGATTCATTAAATGTGCTATGGATTCTGCAGTCCTTTACTTTTGAAGTCTAGTTTTTTATCTTCAAATCAAGGTTCATGTTTTGGCTTGTTAAGGAGGATGCACATAATATATCTACCACTAGTAATACTGCAAACAGCTTGTAATACACAGTCTACTAAACAGAGAAAAGATAGTGATTTAAGGCTTTTTCAAAGCATGGGTTGTGTGGATTGCTTACTTTTTACGCCATTCTTCTAGCTTTCAGTTTTGTTCCACAGAAGGTATGGAAAAAGAAAAGGCAAAAGGCCAGTGAAGTAAAGTTGAATGATCTAATCAAAACCTTTGTTGCACCTAATGGAATCCCTACTACTAGCTGTGCCTCTAGTCGAGAGCAATGTAACCATTTTACAATTTTTTTTCCGTATTATTTCCAATAATATGCAGGAGAGTCACATTATTTTCCTCTTACCTTGAAAAATGTAACAATTATATGGAACACTATGGGAATAAACATCATTTGAACACACACACACACACAAACACACACACACACACATAGAGCTTTCAGAATATTCAACAAAAGCAATACAATCAGAAATTAAAATAGAAAAAAGTCACTGCGTACATAATTTATTTCTAAAATTAATGAACATAAAATTGAAATGGAAATAAATTAAGGGTAAAAATTTCTAATACTTGATTCAAATCGAGCCTTTCTTCCATTTCATTTTCATAAAACCGTGTACCAAATAACTAGGATTATAATTTTAAAATGATTTTTGGGCCTCCATAGAAAAATAGTATTCTTACACTGAGCAATAAAGGCAGAGATCTGACTTAATACATTTAAAATATCCACATTTACTGGAGAAAAGCTTTCAAAATTAAGAGACCAGTTTTTCTGTAAAACAATCTATTTGTACAAATTAAAAAATTCCCTAAAAACAAAAATAATTCCCTAAATATTATCATTACTTAGATGCTACAGCTTACCAAGTGCACATACTAAATGTCTACATATAAAACGACTGAATAAAATGCACAGAAGATAATTCTTATTAAATCAAAACATTGCAGATTCTTAAAGCACTGGCAAAGAGAATAATACAATGTTGAATGCAAATATACTGTAAGTTAACACCAACATGTCATAGTAGGTTTTGATGCTGGTTTCAAGTGAATTGTATTTTCTGGTAACTGACTAAGCATGAGTGGTTTGTGGCTCTTTAGCTTATGAGCCAATGTCATAAATATGGCTTCCACATGATCATTGTCATTTGGGTTTTTAGCAGAAGTTTCAAACAGTGGCATACCATGAGTGTCAGCAAATTTCTGAGCCACATCTGTAGGCACCTGAATCACATTCCTTAGATCGCATTTGTTTCCAACCAAAATCCGGGGTATTTCACTGGTGAGCAAGTGTTGCTTGCACTCTTCAATCCACAGTGGCATACTGTGAAAGCTAGCAATATTTGTCATATCATATACAAACACAACTGCATGTACGTTCCTGTAATAATGCTGCACCATGCTCTTCCTAAAACGTTCCTGTCCTGCAGTATCCCAGAGCTGGATCTAGAGGTGGGAAATGAAGAAACTTGAATAAGAGTAAGGCCATACATATATACATACATATAAACTTCAAATGGACAAGTGATAATAGCATATTTATAGTACCTGCCTAAATTAAAACATATTTTCAATATAATTTCTATTAATGCTTTATGTTTTTAATATTTCTCTAAAGATCTCGAATGATGGAATTGTCTGGAATTCTGGTAAGGGGCTGTCTAGAGCAGTGGTCCCCAACCTTTTTATCGCCGCGGACCAGTCAGCCTNGAGCCAGCTAGCATCTCCCAGCATGGCTGTCATGACTCCCCATCTTACCAACTGAAAACAGCTTTTAGGTTTAGTCATTTATCAAAAGGGGAAGCTGCCAAACCGTGTTTGTTTCTCCAATGTACACAATTGTCCATCTATACAGTGAAACACACGTCCCTTTGTTCTCTCCCCGTCCGTCTTTCTTTTTTTGCTCGTCGTTCCGTTGTATTTCTCACTGTCTTCTTTCTGGCTGCCTGTTTTATTGCTCTGTGATCTTACTTCTATTCACTCGCCTTTCCTTTCTTCTTCTTCTTCTTTTTTATTGTGATAAGCTGCCTGGAGTAGCAGCCCCAGGGCCAGACAGGCAGTAAATGAATTTAACAAAAAGAAAGAAAGAAAAAAAGAAAATTCTGGGTGCAAAACAAAGCTTCCTCCCTCCCTCCCTTCCCCTCCCTCTTTCCTCCCTTCCTCCTTTTCTCCTCCTTCTTCCCTCCCTCCTCTTTCCTCCCTCTCCCTTTCCTCCCTTCCTTTCCTCCTCCTCATTCTTCGCTCCCTCTCTCCTTCCTTCCTCTTCCTCCCTCCTTCTTTCCTCCCTCTCCCTTTCCTCCCTTCCTTTCCTCCTCCTTATTCTTCTCTCCCTCTCTCCTTCTTTCCTCTTCTTTCCTCCCTCCGTATTTCCCTTCCTTTCTCCTCTTTCCCTCTCCATCCTTCCTTCCTTCCTTCTTTTCTCCTCCTTCCCTCCCTCCCTCCTCCCTCCTTTCCTCCCTCCTCTTTCCTCCCTCTCCCTTTCCTCCTCCTCCTTCTTCCCTCCCTCCCTCTTTCCTCCTTTCCTCCTTTTCTCCTCCTTCTTCCCTCCCTCCCTCTTTCCTCTTCTTTCCTCCCTCCTCTTTCCTCCCTCTCCCTTTCCTCCCTTCCTTTCCTCCTCCTCATTCTCTCCCTCTCTCCTTCCTTCCTCTTCTTTCCTCCCTTCCTCCTTTTCTCCTCCTTCTTCCCTCCCTCCCTCCTTCCTCTTCTTTCCTCCCTCCTCTTTCCTCCCTCTCCCTTTCCTCCCTTCCTTTCCTCCTCCTCATTCTCTCCCTCTCTCCCTCTCTCCTTCCTTCCTCTTCTTTCCTCCCTTCCTCCTTTTCTCCCCTTCTTCCCTCCCTCCCTCCTTCCTTCCTCTTCCTCCCTCCTTCTTTCCTCCCTCTCCCTTTCCTCCCTTCCTTTCCTCCTCCTCCTCATTCTTCTCTCCCTCTCTCCTTGCTTCCTCTTCTTTCCTCCCTCCGTATTTCCCTTCCTTTCTCCTCTTTCCTCCCTCCATCCCTCTTTCCTTCCTTCTTTCCTCNCGCCCCTCCCCACTCCTCCCAGGAGTCTCCACGCCTCCTGTTTTGGATGCTTGGTAAGTGCAGGGCCCAGCGGAGGCTCTGGGAGGGCAAAAATGGGTCCATTTCCGGACTCCGGAGGGACTCCAGAGCTCACAGGAGGCGGTTTTACCCTCCCGGAGGTTTGAGGAAAGCCTCCAGAGCCTGGGGAAGGTGAAACCAACCTCGCTACGGCCACGCCCACCATGGCCATGCCCACCCAGCAAACAAGCAGGGAATAGATTGCTAAAATTTTTGAATCCCACCCTTGGTTATAAAAAGTTATAAGATATAGCTATAAAAGCTACAAAAGCGAAGATATGTTTTAAACAGGTGACCAAGAAGGTTAATTTACTGTAGAATCATCTCTTTAGGTTTATGGAGATTCTCAGTCATCCAGTTCTGAAATCAGAACTGAAGAAGCTTCTTGGATGAGAAGTGAAGCGCCTTCAAGGAAAAACAAAGTTCAGTTGCCTTTTGAAAAAGAACCTTTGGGGCAATAATCTCTTTATATTTCAAAGAAGCAAACATGATTTACTATAGAAAGATTTTATCTTCATCGCAGACTGGATTGTTGTGAAATCTGACATAAACTTTCAAGACGAGGTTGTGCATAGCAGAATTTCATTTAAACCATTCCAGATTTGTGCTTTGAAATCCTGAAGGAAAGAAACAGCTTTACTTAAGTAATGTGGGAAGAGCTGAAAACAGACACATGAAATTACTCTCAGGACAAAAGGCATCAAAAACAATGTCAGATGACACAAAATTAACTTCTTATGGACCAATTCAAAGATTAAACAAATTAAACAATTAAGCTTTAGAATGGTAGAGCAACATTTTGAATGCGATTGGTATGATCTGAGAGGAACCAGAGTGATGACTGTGAGATTTGAAATCACATTTCAAAGTAAATCACTTCAAATATTTTTAAAAACTGGACCATCCGCAGTGTTGAAACTGTTGCAAGATTAATAGCGATACTGTATAAGAAAATATGCTTGGGGAATATTTAGAATTTGGACACAAACAAAGAGGAGTGGGGATATTGGGTTAGCCCACTGTTCTAAACCATTGTTTGCTTAATCATGTTTGGCAGAATGAACTAAAGAGACTGTGTTACACACACACACACACAAACACACACACACACACACACAGACACACACTACACTACACTAGCTGGATACCTCTGCTTCACGATGAAACTATGTCATTGGGCAATGCAGAAGAAATCCGGTTCACTCCGATTCAATCTGTTGGCTCAGTGGTGGTCGGTGACTGAAACACATAAGGGAATATCATTCCCGCCGCCGTGAGTCCGGAAGCAGCTCCATAGGTGGAAGGTGTAGACATCTTGGTGAGGTACTAATGTTTAGTATTGTAACGAGCCCACTCCTGAGTGAAGGAGTGGAACCTCTGCCATTTTGAACTGAGGTAACGGAATGTGAGGCAACTGGCAGTTGGAACAGAACTCTTTTCAGGTGGGGAGAGAAAGTAGAACTCCTTAGCATCAGAACATGTTAAGTACTGTATAAGAAATACTAATGATCTGATGGTAATTTTGAAAAATCCTTTCTCAGTGAACACTTAGAAGCCAAGAGGAACATATGGGCCAAATTTCAAGTTTGTAGGCTTTATGATTCTGGAGATTTCATGATGAGTGAGTGGCATTTGGCTTTTACATATATAGAAGATTTGCAATAGTGATGAATATCTGTAGCTACGGTGTGGGATGAGAGTGAAGGTTCATTCTCCGAGCATGTGGGTTGATTTCTGAATGTTTTATTACCAAGTTAGGTAACATCTTCAGCACAGTTTAGGGGAGATCAGGTTCAGTGTTCTTCATTTATTAAACTGACATTGTGTAAACCAACTTTTTAATGTATTAAATTTGTAAGAATAATTGTTCTCTTTTTCTTTCACCTTTCCCACTTAACTCTTTTCCTTTGACTGGGAAAATATTGGATTAAGAGTTTTGATATATGTAATCCTTGAATTACAACTATAATGGACAATACAGCTGTTATTTAACCCATCACAGTTGTGACTGTTGTAAATCAGATCGCCCATGTTCCAAACTTGATTTTACAACCTTTTTTGCAGTGTTTGTTTAGTGAATACCACAACTGTAAATCAGAGGTGGTATTCAGCAGGTTCTGACCAGTTCTGGAGAACCGGTAAAACCACCTCTGACTGGCCCCACCCCCATCTATTCTCTACCTCCTGAATCCCAGCTGATCGGGAGGGAATGGGGATTTTGCAGTAACCTTTCCTTGCCAGGCCCACAAAGCCATGCCGACAAAGCCACACCATGCCCAAAAAGCCATGGCCATAGAACTGGTAGTAAAAAAAAAAATTGAATCCCACTACTGCTGTAAACCAATCACCATGGTTATTAAGGAAATGCTACACTTGTTAAGGAAACCAGCGGTTAGCTATTGGCCAGTTTTGCTAAAAAACCATCCAAGTGCATTAGTGACAATGATGGCATTGTGATGTTACTGTCCACAGAACGTCACTTGTCTCCCTTTGTCTTCCTGTAGAAGCACATGCTTGCAAATCTACATTTCATCAGAGAGATAGTTATAATTGAAAACAATATCTTTACTTTGAACTGGCCTTCTGCAGATGTCTGATGTCACACAGGCACTGTATGTGCCATGCCTAGAAGAGCCGAAGACTTAAAAGACTGGTAAGGAGCTCGGGCGAGTGGGCCCTCCGGAGCACTGTACCGGAATGGTATCCGGTGTTCCGGACAGGCTCCGGTATGCCTGTACCGGGGCGTACCGTCTGCAACCCACCACTACGGTGGAGGTTAATGGCAAGCGTAGCTTTGTTCTCTCTTTCTTTAGTATGATTACACAACTTAACCACATCAGACAGGAGCCTTTTCAAATATTGGGGCCTTCTGCATATATTTGGAACACAAGTCTTAGAATCTTTTTCCATACAGGTGTGCTTTTGAAACATTGTCTAGGACTGTCTTTCCCTTTGTTTCCAGTTGTTGGGTTTTTCATTAACCCGAAGGTTATGTAAACAAATCAGAGACAAAGTAACTCAAGGAGGCTTATCACAGGATAACAAGCTATGTAAATACAGGCTGAAATGGGAACTTCTATGGAATCAAGGCGTCACAATTATCATAGATACTGCCAATTTACTTGTATGTAGGATGATCTGCTGGAATTATGCACCCAATAATCTGATCCTTTTGCAAATAAAGCACTGTATCTCACATTGGATCAAAGAACGAGTCCCCTTCAATTCTCCCTATTTGAATTTTCAACCAAATTTTTGCAACGAGAAGGCTGTCATTGTAATCTTGCCCTCAAAATGCTGTTTGCCCATTGTATCTATTTTACCTTAAAACTAACATTTCACAGGGTTCCTTGTCTGTTTTTTGTTTTGTTT